TATATATATATATATATATATATATATATATATATATATATATATATATATATAACAAACTGACTCCTATTATACAGTATAGGGACAAAAAGACAGGAGACAGGTTTCAGGTTTGAAATGACATGCGGGTAAGTATATGGCAGAATGACTCAGGAGATGTTATCATATGCTCGTGGTTGTGCTAGTGTTGGCTGCTGGAACGTACTGTTTCAAGAACCAAGTCAGCACTTCAGTGACCTAAATTGAAATTAGTGGGGGAGTATAAGAACATTGTGTAGGGCTACAAGTGTCAGTTGGTGTATCTGGGGCAAATTTAACACTGATTCACCAACTGTAACCCTTTCACGAGTGTTCTTGATGAGCACTAACGCTTTAGAGTTACCGCTTTAGAGCTGTGTTAACATAAATATAGCAGTATTTTACAATAATCTTACAGCATTATTAATAATATTAATATTACTTCCTGTTGAAATCAACAGAAAATAAATAATTATTTATATTTATCTATGTTAATTTATATTTTAAAATACAATTTATTCCTGTAATAGTAAAGCTGAATTTTCAGCAGCCACTAGTCTTCAGTGTCACATGATCCTTCAGAAATCATTCTAAGCTGATTTGCTGCTCAAGAAACATTTCTGTTTATTATCAGTGTTTAAAATAGCTTCTAAATATTTGTGTAATAGTAAATTCATATTATATATATATATAATTCATATTATAAAAATCTTCACTGTTACATTTAACAAATGTAATGAATCATTACTGAATAAATGTATTGTAAACTTGCAAAAACAAATTGTACTGACCCAAACTTTTGAAAAGATTTTAACATTCCAAGTTGTATATATAAACATTAGATCAAATATTACAAAGACTGCATTTATAAATCAACATTAACCCAGATTAATACATTAAAAATGTTGTTCATGATACCTGATTCATTAGCTAACGTTAACAAATTGAACCTTATACTCTAAGGGTTTAATGTGTTAATTTGACTGTGTTGCTGATGAAACTGCTCTAAACACATATAGAAAGAAGAGTCCTCATGGGGTTTTATACGGAGGTTATGTTGTGTAACAAAATATAAGACATGGATCATTTAAATTTGAATTCAGATGATTTCAAAAATGGAAAAGTTCTCCCAATTATTTTGTGATGGTTTCCCAACATTGGTCAGAAAGATTAGCAGTTGAGAAACGTTATGATCTAAATAAGGCAAGACACACTTAGATGAAACATCTTAGGTTTTTTATGTGCATGGACACAATGAGCATGATGGAAATGATTCGATCACATGTATATGGTTCACTTTGTCACACATTATCAGCAAAAAACCCATCTTTCAGAACCCAATCAACATATCCTGTCAAGGCTGCTGACCCATATAAAATGCATCTCAGTGCACTGCTGGTGTACAAATTTGTTATTCAGAAGTCCGCTGATGTGTACAGTATGTGGGTGAAACGTGAGAGCGTGGGAGGGCACAGAATTAAGTGTCCAATTAAACATATAGTGAAACAGAAGAACATCTAATGAATAGCCTTCTAGCCCAACTTTCAGATTACATGTGGGAAAAAAATTATGAATTGATATTGCAAACAGACATGCACTTCATTGTCAGTGAGTTCAATGATCTCAAGATGACTATCTATAGTACTCTAGATTTGTCTCTTATCTACGTCAAGATCAGGAAGTTTGAGGCTTTCTCACCAGCCTATATAAATAGAAGATTAGATGCAGGGCTCAGACACTTGCTGGAACGCAGACACCAGCTCTGAAGAGCCATCAGGGAACTTACATTTTTATTCAGAAGATGCAGCTCTCATCGGTGAGTTTGTCACACCAATTAATTAAACTCTAATGATGTTGTTGTTTTTTATTTTAGGCAAGTGCAAGCAAGAAATAATCTACTTGAATTTGAAATTTGACTTGCAGGACAAAAGTTTGCAAAGGCTTGCTCTTGTTGATTCTGAATCTTTTGTTGAACTTTTGGGATTTGCACCCATTAATTTTTCTGAGTGAAGACGTTTCACTTTAACTGACATTGAACTCAACATCCCAGTATAGGCTATCTCAACAGAAATGTCATTGTCGTAAAATGTCTAAAGCGACCTAAAAAAAATTCATTTACCTAAATTTTGTTTAGGTAAATTAACAATATGAAAGCAAACCATTCAACCACTCTTGGTCTCCATCTCCTCAGGTTTTCAGAGCTGTGCTGCTGCTTTACCTGCTTGCCCTGTTACTAAATGGTGCTTCTTCTGAGAAAAAGTCTAAAAGAAAAAGAAAACCGAAGTGTCAAAAGAAAGGAAAGTGGGTAACCTTGGATCCATCTCTGAACCTCTCAATGAATGCCCCCCTGTCTCCAAGCAGATCTTTGTCACCATGGACATATGAGTGAGTCTTTGATCTGATAAATCGTTACAGTTGTTCACTTTAATCTCATATGTGTGATATGCAGAGGATCTTGTGTATCAAATACATGAATTGTAACAATTTGGGGTTGTTTTGAGTAGTTTAGCTAATCTTACTTTTTTATAACAGAATTTTTTTTATAAATCTTTCAATTCAGAGAATCCTATGACAATTCACGAATCCCATCCGAAATCTCTGAGGCAAAATGTGAAAAAACAGGCTGTTTAACCAAAGATGGTGAGGAAGACTTGGGACTGGAATCTAAACCCATCTACTACCAGATCAACGTCTTGAAGAGAGTGAAGGAAAAAAATGCTACGCACTACACCCTTCAGCTGGAGACTAAAATAATTAGTCTAGGCTGTACATGCGTTCTACCTGTCGTTGTGCCTCAGAATTAGCTCTGTACTCTTACTGTATTATATCTATATTGTTGTATTAATCTGCTTATAGGTACAGCAAACTTCTGTGCCACTCTTTTGATCAGCTTTATATTTATTATCTTGATTAATAAAATATATTGTAACATTTTCTTTTTAGTTTTGCTTTATAATAGTCTGTTTGAGTGCAATAACTGTATGAATGATACATGTTAAAATGCAAAAAACCCAGAAAATCTTTGGTTTAGTTAAGAGAAGCATTTATTTGACTTGAACTAGAGAATTTAATCATCTGGAAATTACAAACACAGGGAGCATTTACATTCAATTTTCTCAGCAAATCTGGTCGATTAACAACAATTCTCATCATTGCACATGGAACGGCTCTTTTTTGATGCTGCAGACACCAACATCAAACTCCTTTGTCTTCGTATAGAATGAGTAAAATAAATGACTAGAATAAAGCTCAGTGACATGCCAAAGCAAAGTGCACCGTTCATATCTAAAACCATTTCCCAAATCCAAAGAGGATCTTTTTCTCACACCTGAGTGATATCATTCTTCATTTGAGATGCCACTATGTGTTTTTCTACTGATGAGCATCATAATACAAATATAATGATAGAAAAAAAGCTAAATGTGCTTCTGAGTTGTGCTTAAAGTGTCACTGTGCTCCACTTTTAATGTATCTGAGAGGGTCGTGAGCTTTGGGATTTATAGTATATTCTAATCTAATATTCATTTGATCATATTTTTACCTCACATCGTCACAACAGGAAATGTGATAGATAACACATTTCTAGCCACCTGATTACTGATGCTTAATAATGTATATTGTATAGGCATGCATGAGGTTCTATGAAACCCTACTGATTATTGAATATTAATATCAAACAATAATTAAAGAAGCATGAGCCAAAGCCTCAATAGATGGCACATGTTTTGGGAAAAAGATGCTTTTGTGGTACTGCTATTAGTGAAGAGTGACTTTAAGATGTAGTTTATGTTAACATATTCATCTGTACTGGTTATGGAGGTTATAAAAAGCATCTATTCATCAATATTTCTTCCTGTCCTCTTCATGTCATTTCTAAAGATCGGTTTGGTATATTCATTCTTTTTCTCTGAAGCAACGTTCTGGGCTCTACCAAGTAACGTACTCTTTGTGCACCTTGCATTGTCATCTAGACAATATCTTTCTGTTTTTAATAATATTAAGTAGTTTTGATGTTGTTAAACCTTACAAAAGCTTGGTGTGTTGCAAATTGTCATTATCAATGTCCAATATGTTCCCTTTTTTGAGATGTATTGGCTACCGTTTGCTATATTTTCTCTTCACTGGTTTGATCTCCCTTGACTATAGTCAAAGCAGTCTTCTACCGGCAGGCCTCCTCTTTCAGCTCTTTGTTCTTCCTCACCTCCTCTGCGTGTTTGTCCTAAACAGACACACAAAAGAAAACTTACTCCACCTGTGCTCATGCATGTATTAGTGTGCCTGAGGGAAGCTAAATACAGCGGCATAAACAAACTGGAGAAACAATCCACCCCTTTCTAATGCAATATTCATACTCATTCTATAATTAGACTGGGAAGGGACTCAGATGCACAAAGGCCAGGAACCCACTGAATGTGTAATTGTCACAAAAATTCGGGACACTTTATTATGATTATTTTATAATCTATAAATATTTTTAAACATAATATTATAATTTAATTGAAATAGAATAGTAATTTAAATATAATAATATAATATATATTTAAAATATAATATTTAATATTTTGTTCTATATATTATAAATACTTATACATATATCTTTAGAGAAATTATTACTTTTATTCAATAGATGCATTAAATTGAACAAAATAGACAGTAAAGACATTTATAATGTTATTTTTTTTTAAACTTGATAAATGCTGTGTTTTAATTTTTTTTAATGAAATTAAAAATGTTTCTTGAGCAGTAAACCATGTGACACTTAAGACTGGAGTAATGGAAAATTCACAGGAATAAGTTAAAACCTGTTATTTTAAATGGCAATAATATTTCAAAATATTACTATTTTTACTATGTACTAGTTCTATTTTTTATATTTTTACTATTTTTATTATTTTACAATAAAAAAGCAGCCTTGGCGAGCAAATATCATTTTTACTATTAACTAACTACTACTATTTTTAAAAACATTTTTACTAAAAAAAAAAAAAAAATTAAAAAAAAAGGCAGTCTTGGTAAGCGTAAGATACGTTAAACTTTTTTTATTTTTTTATTTTTTATCGTATAAAACCCAAACTTTGGATTGGTATTGAATTGATATGAAAAATGATATGTATGAAGGTAAAAGAAAAAAAAAGTTTCCATATTTGATTGTATGCCTAATTATATATTTTTAAAAGTAACAACGTTCTTAGTAAAGTTGAATGTTTTAGCTATGCATAGTCAAATGAAATACATTTTCATTAGAAATAATCTTTAAATTATTTATTTTTATTGTTTAAAAAATAAAGCAATTCACATTGACTAAGTGCTGTAATAAAGTACTTTACATCCCTTTCAGTTAGTTCGTACCTTTTCCTGTAGTCTCTCCAGCATGGCGGCAAGCAAAGCCTCACGGTTCTCTTTGTTGGCCTCCATCTTCTGCTCCAACTTCTCTTTAGCATATTTAATGAAGTTGTTGTTCTCCTCAAAGGCCTTCTGGATGACCTCTCTCTCATGCTCCCTCTTCTCTGCAAGATGCTTTAACATCTCAGCCTCCTGAAACTAGAGAGAAGTCTTCATGTAGCCCTACAAGAGTGATTACTGATAAACTGTCTGAAAAAAAGACTTAAAAAGAGTTTTTAAGAGAAGAAAGAAATCCCCCACTGACTTTCAAAGCTGCTAACGACTTTCTACTTCGAGGATCTTGATAGAAATGTAGTGGAGTGAAAAGTACAATATTTGTCTTTCAAATGTAGTGAAGTTAAAGTCATAAGTTCCCAGAAAAAATAATACTCAAGTAAAGTACAGATACTCAAAAAGTGTACTTAAGTACAATACTCAAGTAAATGTACTTAGTTACTGTCCGCCTCTGCCAATAAGTAATGTTGTATTATTTACCCTCAGCCTTGTATGTGGGCTTTTCTGCAGGGTTTGAGTTGATGCAGGAGCACAAAAGTGACACTAGAGGGAGCTCCTTCACCTTGTCTCGATATGCTGTGTGGAGAAACGTCAACATGAACAAACGCTTGCATTCTGTCAAAGATCTTCATCATGCTTGGTTTACATGCAGAAAATTAGACAATTTAAAAGTAATTAACTCATTTAAAGCAGCTGTAGGCGATTTTTAACACAAAATGTCTCAAATAAATTAATCAGGTCAAGTAAAGCTCTTGTACAATATTTCAACAGAGCAAGATTATGGGTTCGATTCCCATGGAACTGAATACAATTGAATAGAATGTAAGTTGCTTAGGATAAAAGCGTCTGTGAAATGCTTAAATGTAAACAGAACAGAATCTTTTCGATCGTTTTTTGGAGGCTAATAAAACGTGCATTAGCCAAGTAGAAAAATTTAAGGCGGCTCTTTCACAAAATCAACCAATGATGTGATTATTGGGGTGGAACTATATGTTTACTTGACCAATGGGAGTTTGGGGGAGTGTTTAGGAAACCTGTTTGGAAACAAGTTAATTTCAATAAATTTTGTATAGAATGTTAAAAAATATGCTTAAAAATAATGCATGATATTTGTTTCTCTGGAGATAGGCTACAAAACAGAACCTGCTGAGCTCTCTCTTGGACATATTATTATATTTGTACAAAATTCGCAAACAAAACAAACTTTTTGAAATTATATTTTGATTAAGTTGATCATGATATAATTTTAATATAAAATGTAAAATTTGTTCCTCCTATTTCTAAACCTCGTGTGTTAACATTTCAGCTGAAGTACAAGAGAAAAAAATCATGGCCTGCAGGGGGGCCTTCAAATATTGAATTTGATTATGGAGACTTTGATGTTTGGGAATCAGGGAAGACTTTTGTAGCTTACCTGCCAAGGTCATGTTTATGCAGTATTGTGTGTAGTTTACAACTCTTTACTCTGTCCTGTTTAGAGAGAGAAAGCGAGGATTAGGAAAGTGTGTGTGCGTGTGTGTTTAGTCCTGCACATATATAAAACACTTTGGCCTAGTAAATGTTTTGAAACATAAGAATTATTAACCATTAATTAAAATAATACAGTACATTTAAAAAAAAAGGTCAAATGCAGATCCATTGTGCATGAGATGTCTGAAAGGAGCTTGTTGTGTTGTGGCGGGACACTTGGTGAGAGAGGAGCATGAATTCAGATGAGGAGCAGCAGGGAGTGTCACGCACAATCTCTGTATTGTTACTCTGGCTCAAAGCTGCCACTTATCAGAATACAAAACAATTTTAGAAAACAATAAACATTAAACATTACATAAATCCTAAAACCATGAGCAAAACTGACATATAACCTTATGGAGAGACACCACAAAGAGAAAAGCATTGCCCTACCCTGTTCATACATCAACACACACTACTTTATCCAAACACCTGCATGTATAGGTGTTTTTTTTGTTTGTTTTTTACTGTATTTCAGTTACTGTATTTGTAACTATATTCTCACATCTCTGTTACAAAACAAACTGATACGACAGCTTAACATAATCGTTGCCCCAAATGGCAAATACCCATAATGTCAGGCTAAACACATGTAAAAATCCACTCTCAAATTACTACATTAATACAAAACACAATAACAAGTAATACAGTCCAACCCTAATCACTGCAGTCAGTGCTTATGTGTGCAAAATGTTGTTTACTGACTCTTGCCTTGGAATGACATAATCTAGTGTGCTCTTGAATTATGTCATCTTTTAACACCGCTGCGTATACACACAGATTCAGATACGTTTGCAATACATTCCCATTTTCATGCATATAAAGTTGCTTTGCATATATTATAGATGGCAGACAGAACACCGAGTTCCCTCTAGACCTCTGGTGCGGCACATTTAGTCTTAATTCAAAGGTAACCTTTTTCATTTTAATAATCAATGCAAGTCAAATCACAAAAACATCAGAGCAAAGCAAGTCTCCTCTCTTTTGATTTTGTGATGCCCACACTTACCTTTTCTCCTTGATGAGGTGTTGTCCCTATCTCCCCCCTCTCTCTCTTTCTGTCTCTCTCTCTCTCTCCCTGGTATCTTCTTTTTCACCTCCCTCTCTTTTGCTCTGTGCCTGCTGCTCCTCGGATACAAGAGCTCAGCAGCATCAGCAGCAGCACCCCTCCTACCGCATGACATCATCTTCCAGTGCTGCTATTGGACGAGGTGAGTGGCAGAGCTTCTCCATCACTGTGAAGGACGGGGGGTGGTAACTCTTTGTGCTTTACTGCAGGTGTCCATGCAAAATAGAGGACGGGTGTTTTCCAACACAAAGAATTACAAAAGACAGGGATTAGAATTTACTTTACTATAATATCAAAAATAATTGTACAATAATATGAAGAAATATTAGTAATAATAATACAACAAAAGCAAAAACAAAACTGTATAACAAAACTATAAATTACATTTTATCTTTTTAAAATATATTATATCCCCTGATTCTGGATACGTGGTTTGGAGAATGTATTTATATTTTATTATATTATGACAAATAATAAAACAATGAAAAAAATAAAAATTGATTTAGAACAGACGTTGCTCTACTGTACTTTATCCTGTATTTTCCCAAAATAAATTATACCCCCACCTGTGGTTTATAGAAAAGTGTTAATATAATATAATATAATATAATATAATAATATATATATATATATATATTACATTATAATTAATAATAATACAACAAAAGCTAATACAAAACAATTTTTCTCCAAAATATATTATATTTTACCTAATCAAAATTATATTATATCCCCTGCTTCTGGATAAGTGGTTTGGATTATAAATATATAATTATATTATATTATGTTTATTATATTATATCCTGTATTTTCATAATGCATAAACTGCAAGTGTCACATTTGTGAAGCACCACTTCTGCTACAGAACTCCATAGCCATACCACAGTATATGATGTCACCCAGATATCTGTCCATAAAGAATGCAACAAGAGAAGAAGACAAAAAATGAAGGGATGTCAGGAAGCTAGAAGGTCTAAATACATTTATTAGGGAATGATGGACTCAAGCAAGGGGTGTGTCTCTGCAATTTAATACAAGCCAAATTGCTCTGACAGGAAAAAGAACGATCTTTAGTCAGCCAGTGCTCCTGATCTAATGACTGAAACATTGAAACACTGACTGGAAAGAGAGAGGGACATCATCACAATAAGAGATGTGATGATATAATTTAGGCATCAGTGCAATGCTGCTAATCATTTGTAAAGAAATATGTTGTATTAATTAGACAAAGTCAAAACAAAAGCTTTTTTACAAGTGGTCTCAGACTTCCAGACTTGAATATCTTCACAACATGCCACACCACTTAGAATCTGGACCCCAGAGACTCATGTGATTCTGCATGTGTCTCCAGGTGCTGTCTGTGTATTGATCTTAGGGGAAGGGAACAGTGGAAGCATAATGAATAAAAACCCTAATTAAATCCCACTGAGGTGTGACAGAAATTAGACGGTTACTGGAAGCACAGTCTCGCTCTCTCAGCTCTGCACACATTCACTGTAAATTATTTGGGATTAAAAACACCTGCTCCTTTGTATTGAAATATTCAATATTCTGCCCACTACTGTACATTTCAGCCTATTAAAAACATATCAACACACTCCTCTTATGGTTAACTCCAACACAAAGCATGACTCACTAAAATAGAGCTGTGAGTGAATATGTAATCTGACATCATCCCGTGCCTTTTGATGACTTCACCCACATATATTGATTCTACTTGACCAATTAGATAGCATCTTTTAATCCAATTGCAGTGGCTTTCAGTAAATAATGTAAATAATAAAAAAATTTCATAGTCAGCCAAACCATATTTCTCTGACCTACTTCAAAACTCTAATTAGCCTGGTAATTTCTTCTGGTTAGGATGTTTTTTTTTTTTTTACATTTTTGTTTCTCTGCAGTGTTTAGGTTGAGATCCCTAATCAGAGAAATGACACTGGTGATGTAATGGGACTGGACAGCAGTGGACATCGAGTGAGAGAGAAAGGGAGGGAGAAAGACTGATAGGATAAGATTAAAGGGCAGGAAATTGATTTTTATTTCCTTAGAGATTTGTAATTAAAACGGGGGGATGTTAATTCATACTAAATGTGCCTTTTCTTTTGATCTGTACCCAGGCTTCGGCTTTATGCAAAGCTGGAGACTATGAACGTGAAGAGTATTTGCAAAAAACATTTTAAATACTCCAACTATAATAAATTCTGGAACTCTATAGAGGCCTTTCGCACAAAATGCTTTTTTTTGTTGTTTTGTTTTTAAAAATGTGAGACAAAAAAAAGCTAAGTCTCAAGACATTTTTATAGCTATAATGATAACAATACACACTACAACTATAATGATAAGTGCAACGGTCAAATGCATCCATCTAGTGTGTGCTTACAGGAAAACAATGCAGTGGAATGGAAAAATTAGTTATGTGTGAATAGCCACTAGGACATTTTTACACTACTAACCATCCCCTCCATCCCATGTTTTTCCCACTCTTGGACCTGTTGACATGCCAGATGCTCTCTTCTCTCGTCTCAGGCTTGTTGCCATGGACACAGTCTTGCACCATCAACAACTGTCTGGAAATTATTGACAGCTTTGAATTATTGGCAGGTTTGCTACAGAGTTTTAAATCGAGTCTGAAATCACGAAACAGACCGGAAACTTTTCAAAGGTAATTCTGGGGCCAACACAAACATCAGCATATTTGTTTCAGTTGTGGTTGAACCCAATGTACGGTAATAATGAAAAATAAAAAAACGAACTGATTTAAAAGGTCACATATAGGCCTGGACTTTAATAAATCTGAGCCATTTACATTAAGAGTGGTTATCCTCAGATAAAGTGGAATTCTTAGCTTTTTCTACTATCCCTGTTCTGCAAATATGAAGGTCATTTCAGAATCAGAATCAGAATGAGCTTTATTGCCAGGTATGTTTACACATACAAGGAATTTGTTTTAGTGACAGAAGCTCGACAGTGCAACAGAATGACAGTGACAAGACAGGACACAGATAATAAAAAGAATCATATAAAAATAGACAAAATAGACATTGTAAAATAAAGCAAAAACACAATATATAATATAGACAATTTTGTATGTACAGGTATGATATGTGTAAATTTGAAATGTAAATAAGTATGTGTGTTAAATAAATAATGTATACTAGTGTTGTGTGTTCCACGATTATTGTTAAGTGTTCATGAGATGGATGGCCTGAGTAAAGAAACTGTTCCTGTGTCTGGTCGTTCTGGTGCTCAGTGCTCTGTAGCGTCGACCAGATGGCAACAGTTCAATGAGGGAGTGTGCTGGATGTGAGGGGTCCAGAGTGATTTTGCTAGCCCTTTTGCTCACACTGGATGAGTACAGTTCTTGGAGAGAAGGGAGGGTCGTACCAGTGTTGCGACAAAGCAGTGTTGCTTTCTGTTGCGACAAAGCAAAATTTCCAACAGGAATATGAAAAATCTGGTTCCTACACAGTCTGAATGTCAGTTTTTGAGACATTAGATTTGTTTTTTAGACATAAAAAGGAATTAAATGCCTTATACAGTAGTTTCACAACACGTTTTCCAGATGTTCAATATGACTTCCTCTTGTGACCTTTGCAGGTAAAAACACATGAAGGTGGTCTGGAAATGCCCCACTACTACTCACATAAAATGGCTTACAGGGGAATTAAGTTATTATGGGTCACTGCCTACACTCTTAAAAATAAAGGTGCTTCACGATGCCATAGAAGAACCTTTTTGTCTAAATGGTTCCATAAAGAACCTTTAACATCTGAAGAACCTTTTGTGAAAAAGAAGGTTCTTCAGATTACAAAAAGGTTAGAAAGAGATGGTTCTTTAAAGAACCTGTGACTGAATGGTTCTTTGTGTAACCAAAAATGGTTCTTCTATGGCATCGCTTGAAGAACCTTTTGAAGCACCTTTATTTTTAAGAGTGTAAGGTCATAGTTTATGGGTTAATTGAATGTAAAAAATGACAGTGAATTTAACGGTAAAAGACTGCTGCTTGTGATGGGCTTTGATTCATCATGTGACTTTCTCATCACCACCTGCATTTCGTGGTTATCAGTGTATTACAAAGGTACAAAACAGATTTCAGTACTTCAATAGGTTGGTATATTAACATTATATCAGTTAATGAAATTACGGTATTTAACTGTAAATTTAAGTTTAAACCGTAAAACCTTTTACAGTAAAATTCCGGCAACCACAACTGCCGTTTTTTTACCGTAAATTTTATCAAGGTCAAGATCCTTCAGATCTCTCTTGATCTCTCTAAATCAAATTTCATAATTCCTTATTGTTCAGAGGGCCTATTTCGTTTAGTATGCCCAGAACTGACAGAAATTTGCTAAAATGGGGGTGGTAGATGTTGATGGGTAATTCAGCAGCTTGTGTTTCATGTCTCCATCATGTCAGATACCAGACGGGCAGGAGATTTGCAGATTGCAAGCATCATCATGTCCAGCACAGGCCTTGATGTTTCCACTCTGCCAACTTGGATCACAGCTCCCCCTTCTCCCCCTCTATCACTCATTGTAGACACAGAAGTCTGGAAAAACATGCACCTCTTGCACACTATCATATCATACCATTTTATATCCCAAAGACACAAACATGGCATTTATAAGCCAGATTTCTATTTAAAATTAATGCTTTTTTTTATTTCTTTTGATCAAAGAATCAGTGAAAAAATGAATCAGTTTCCACAAGAAATATTAAGTAGCACCACTATTTTCAACATTAAAAATAATATTAAATGTTTTTTGAGCACCAAATAATCATTTTAGAATGATTTCTGAAGGATCATGTGACACTGAAGACTGGAGTAAAGGCTGCTGAAAATTCAGCTTTGCCATTACAGGAATACATTACATATTAAATATATTAAACAGTTGTTTTAAATTATAATAATATTTCAGAATATTGCTGCTTTATTACTGTTACTGTTTTGATCAAATAAATGCAGCCTTGGTGGGGATTTACCAAGAGAGAATTGTGTCAATAACAACAAAAAAAAGATCTTACAGAAACTTTATG